CTGTGGCTTTCTGGAGAGTTCTATATCAGGTTAGACCTCTGAGCAGAGCTCCAGTCGATAACGGCATAGGTAACCGTATGACTAGTTTGTTAGAGAAGATATACAGGGCTTATAAAACGGACTATGTCAACATTCTATGTCGGCGACACTAGCCACAAGGCGGATTATTCTTCTTCATTATGCTGTGTTTTTTTTCCGACAGATTACCACATTGGGAGAAAAATGCATCACTTTCGATAAATATGACTCGTTAAATAATCTACCAGAATATATCTTACCATGCGAAAATAATTCAGGTGCCCACCATCTTACTGGCATCTCTTTTAATGGTGGAAAGTATTCTTCATTATTTTCTAAACATCTTGACAGTCCAAAATCGGCAACTTTGACATTCTCTCCTTTATCTACTAGGCAGTTGCGAGCAGCCAAATCACTACAAACACAAACTTCAACTAAAATGCAAAGAAAAACAGTCTATCAAAATTACCGGTGTATAACCCGTTGATCTTCAAGATAAGCCATTCCATTAGCAATATCTCGACAAAATTTTATTAATTGATTTTTACTCGGCTCCTTTGGAGGACTTTGAAGATACTTATTCAAACTTCCCTCTAGAAGAATAGTACACTTTTAAGCAAATGTTTTCAACTTCAATTTCAATATGTACTTTCAACAAGTTCCATAACAATCATAATGGGATCTTTCATTGCGGCTATCCCGATAAATTTGACAATATTTTTATGATCATATTTTGATAACATTAATGCTTCTCTAATGAATTTACTCCTTTCTTCTTGTATTTGTTTTCTGCTTTTAAATTGCACAGATGGTGCATGTAAAATTTTAACTGCAACATTTCTATTCCGGTATTCGGCTTTCATTACCTCACCAAAGTTGCCCTAAATACATTTACAATTGTATATTTTGATACATAGTTAATCACACATGAGATAACTGACCGTGCCCAGTGTATCCCTTCTAGAAATTTCATCATTATCGATAATGAAACCAGGACGTTCGACAGGTCGAAGCAATTTTGTACCTTAAGGACAACGTTAACTATTATCGAAGAGAAATATATAAGCTCTCCCTTTCTTTATCTACCATCTGTTTTTAATTGTTCTTTACTGTGCAAATAATAATCGATCAACTCTTTCACAGACGGTTTTGATACATTGGCGTTCGAAAATGAATACCTCTAAATAAATGAAAATATACCATTGATTGATTATTGTCATGATAAAGTATAGTTAATCGATGAGTTAGTAAGGAGAGATAAGTCAAACCGGCTTATGAGGTGTTTCTACATACATTATCATTAAAATTAATGACAAAATGCCGATCTTCCAGTGAGTCTGTTGGATCATTTGAACGAGTCCACAAGATTGATAGAACACATTGACTTTGTTCGTTATTACGTACAAGAAAATCACCTTTATTTTTTAGTTCGTTAATAGCGTCTGCTCGTGGGATTATGCCATGAAAATAGGGTTGATCTTCAAGTTTATTTGTAAGCTGAATTAATGAATAAAAAATGGAATCTTTATAAGCTACATTTTTTTCTTGATCTTTTTACCCCAATCGGAGGAAATGTTACACAATCATCTGGTGTTTGTGCATCCACAAATCCACTCTCTCTAAGAGCTTCTTCCAATAAAAATCGTACTTCACGTTGCCAGCCTGATTTTGTTTGTAAATTTCCTATTTTTTGTTCGTGAACAAATATGTCTTTATGTATCGCATAAGAGCTACAAAATGAGCACATAAAAGATGTGACTAAATAAACTATAAATATAAAAGTTATTTACTCCTCGCGATTTTTCAGTTGGCTAATCATTTTTTTAATGTGGTCGATTTCGATGTTACAAGTATTTTCTTCCGAACTTAATATCCTAATTCTAAATAATAATATCAGAAAGTTTCTTAGTTGAGATATAATATTTAGATTGTTTGCACAATTGTACAGACCTGTTGTTTAAATCTTCGACTGTCAATATATCAGCAGCTATTCTATTTTCATGAAGATCATCTACACCGGCTGTTTTTATTAAAGTATCATTAAAGTTTTCAGGTTTAATTACACGTTTAGCACTTAATAAGAAAAAATTTTAATCGATGAATCATCTTTCTCGCCTACCTACCTTGAATTTTTTATACAAAAGTCAAAATAACATGATTTGGGTTCAACAGTATCTGCAATACGATGGGATTCACTGATAATCGCCTTATAATCTGCTCGCGTACTATCTGTATAATCAGCTAATGTTACCAACGTTTTCTTCCTAAAAAAATCGAAGCATAACTGACCATAGTTTACTAAAACACCAGACAATCATATATACCATGAATTATTCAAAATCCTTTGTGCATCTTCATGATATACTAAAAAGTTTTTCAATGACTTGACATATTGTTCATCGGCAAAATTTGCTTCTTTCAATTTCAGTATGTATTCATTGTGTATTCGATGCAACTCTTTTTTTACATCGTGACATTTTTGTTTCGCTTGTTGTTTTGGTTCGTCACTGTGTTTCGGATCTGAAATAAAAACAACCTCACTAATTTAACTGTATGATCTTTTAGAGTTATCTGTTGCTTGTCAATGATACTTACTGGTAATAATACTTCGAAACTTTAAAGTTGCCGTTGTCATTGCATGTGCTTGTTCCGAATACTTAGATTGAGCCTCAAATAAATCATTATGAGCCTAAAAGCGATTACGAATATGGCGGAGTGAATAGACAAAAGTAGTGTGTAGCAAACTATAAAAACGCGTGCGTATTAATGATAACTACAAAGAAATAACACATGCAACTAAAGAAACAACAACCGAAAGCACTGGTTTTTTATCGACTTTTAAAGTAGTCTATGCATCCGGAAACAGATATTTCAAGCTGAATTATTGAGTGTAGTATCGTACAGTAGATGAAAAACTCAATATTATCTACTGTTGCTTCGTTCAAATTTAAAAAATGTGTTAGTTTCAATATATTGTCTTACCGATATTAGACGAATTGAACCTATAGTGAACCAACATAGCGAGAATAGTCTTCGTTATACACAAGGTTATCATTCTTTAGATAGTAGAAAATATAGTAGAAAAACGACATGCCTGCTGTCTTTCGTTATCAAAACGTTTTTTCTCATCGTCTAAATATTTTCGACTTTCTGGTTTTTGCTCAGTTAACTGTTTCAAATGATCGTCTATAATGTTTCTTTTGAAATTCTCTGCTTTTGTACTAATTAAAGACGCCATTGCAGACCATTGCATGAATAAATCATGAGATGCCTAAATAAGTAATAGTGTTTTATGTAAGAATGTTATGACAGGCATGCCAGTAAAAAGATACCACTCACACTACTAATTGGATGCATTTGTAGCCATGGTATCTT